TGCATTACTTGTCTGTTTATACATTTATTTAATTTTGCATTGATTTTATTTACTTATCTATTTATCTATTGCTTATCTATCAATCAGATTTTATATTTTACTTTATAGGTTTATTTTTTATTTAATTAATTCATTTTTATTATTTTTATTTTTCTATATAGTTTTTAATATGTTCATATTTTATCAAATATTTTTATTAATACATTTTTTATATCGCTCTATTCATTGTTTATTATCTGTTTTTCATTTTATCTGTTTAATTTTTTAAACAATTTTTAATTTACCTTTTTATTATTATTTTTTTGATAAGTCTTTCTATTTTTAAACATAACTATTAATCTATTATTTTATTATTGTTTATTAATATAATTTTTAATCTCTCCTTTGTCTGCTATCTTTTTATTTTTACATTTGTTTACTTTTTTTATTTTCCACATTTCTTTTAATTTATTTGTAAAGGTTAATGTATGTATGAATCTATTTTGCACGCAAACGTAATCATGCCTTCAAGTCATTTTGTAAAGATATTAACAAGCTGTGTTTGTTGATTATGCTGAAGTTTAGGGAGCTGCAATTAAAAAGGAGAAAATAATTAGCACTGATCATAACCGTGACATTCCTTTCAAAACACTCCACCTTGCTCAAAGTCATTGTGTGTGTGTGTACGTATCATTGTGTGTGTGTGTGTTTGTGTGTGTGTGTGTGTGTGTGTGTGTGTGTGCGTGCGTGTGTGTGTGTGTGTGTGTGTTTGCAGTGGAGCGAAGAGCAGAAACTATCTGAGCATGGAGCAGATGACTGAGTTCATCAATAATAAGCAGCGAGACCCTCGTCTGAATGAGATCCTGTACCCGCCGCTGAAGCCCGACCAAACACACGCCCTGATGGAGAAGTTTGAGCCCAACGCCGAGTTCATTCAGAAAGGTGAAGCTCAGACACACACTCATCACACACACTCGCTCACTCCACACTGTTGGATTTATACACATCTATATAGCTCATGTGGGGTGGCTCAGTGGTGTTACACTGTCACCTCACAGCAAGAAGGTCACTGGTTCGAGTCTCTGCTGGGTCAGTTGGCATATCTGTGTGGAGTTTGTATGTTCTCTCCGTGTTGGCGTGGGTTTCCTCCGGGTGCTCCAGTTTCCCCCACAGTCCAAACACATGTTCTATAGGTGAATTGAATAATCTAAATTGGCCGCAGTGTATGAGTGAATGAGTGTGTATGGGTGTTTCCGAGTACTAGTTTGTGGCTGGAAGGTCACCCGCTATGTAAAACATATGCTGGAATAGTTGGTGGTTTAATCCGCTGGGGCGACCTTTGATAAATAAGGGAGTAAGCCAAAGGAAATGGAATGAATATATAAATGGAAATTTGCTGTATTTTTATTAGGGCTATGTAATTTTGTCCCCTCAAATAAAATAAAATAAAATAAAATAAAATAAAATAAAATAAAATAAAATAAAATAAAATAAAATAAAATAAAATAAAATAAAATAAAATAAATAAAGATTTTTTACATATTTGTTTGGTCAGAGAAAAGACCTATATAAACTAAATAAACTAAAATTAAATTATATACAGGCAACGCGGTGGCGCAGTAGGTAGTGCTGTCGCCTCACAGCAAGAAGGTCGCTGGCTCGAGCCTCTGCTGGGTCAGTTGGCATTTCTGTGTGGAGTTTGCATGTTCTCCATGCGTTCGTGTGAGTTTCCTTCGAGTGCTCCGGTTTCCCCCACAGTCCAAAGACATGCGGTACAGGGGAATTGGGTAGCCTAAATTGTCCGTAGTGTATGAGTGTGTTTGGATGTTTCCCAGAGATGGGTTGCAGCTGGAATGGCATCTGCAGTTTAAAACCAAGGCTTGATAAGTTGGTGGTTCATTCCACTGTGGCGACCCCTGATTAATAAAGGGACTAAGCCGAAAAGATTAAATTAAATTAAATTAAATTAAATTAAATTAAATTAAATTAAATTAAATTAAATTAAATTAAATTAAATTAAATTAAATTAAATTAAATTAAATTAAATTAAATTAAAACACTATCTAACTAACTAAATAATTAACTAAATAAATAAATACAATTAATACTAAATAAAGAAAAATTATTCTAAATAAATAAATCAATAAATGCTAAATAAATAAAAACGTTTTGGTGTATTATTGTACTAGGCGTGTGAGTGTGTATGGATGTTTTCCAGAGATGGGTTGCAGCTGGAAGAAAAAAACATATGCTTGATAAGTTGGCGGTTCATTCCGCTTTGGCAATCCCCGGATTAATAAAGGGGCTAAGGAGAAAAGAAAACAAATTTAATTTAATTTAATTTAATTTAATTTAATTTAATTTAATTTAATTTAATTTAATTTAATTTAATTTAATTTAATTTAATTTAATTTAATTTAAATAAAGCACTAACTAACTAACTAAATAAATAAATAAATACAATTAATACTAAATAAACGAAAATAATACTAAATAAATAAATCAAATACTAAATAAATAAATATTTTTGGGTGTATTATTATATTATATATATTTTTTCTAGAAGGGTTATGCAATTTTGCTCCCTCTAAAAAATTATTATCAAAATCTTGTGCAAAGGGACATACAGTAATTGGTCAGTATTTAAGTTGTATGTGCAGCATCTGACTACAGAACATTGTGTTGTATTGTTTTTTGCCTTTTAATGTTTCTTATGAGCTGTACTGTTTGTTGTTGAGGTGTTTTTATTACATTTTGGGTACCACTTACGATTTAGACATGAGTAAGTGAATAAGACTGAAATTAATAATACATTTCAATACATTCATCACCACTTTAGGGGCTGATCAGATCAGAGGTCATTAAATGTGTCACAGTTTTCATCTTTGTTGAACTTTCTGAGGGAATCTGTTAATCCGGCGGCTCAGACTATTGATTGTGTTTGTCTGCAACCCATCATGCTTTGCAGAATGAGCGGTTTATTCATCGATCGCTGATAGACAGCTCTGTGTAATAGCTTATCCTTGATGATGATGATGGTGTTGGTGGTTTCATTAAGGTCCTGTGAGGAGCTGCATTTATCTGAGTGCAGGTTGTCAGAGTGGTTTAATCTGTTTCTGTCAGTGTAATAATACCGCATCTAATCCCTCATTAGTTTCTACAGCAGACCTGATGATTGACAGACACATCACACACTGAAAACACACTCCTAAACAAATCTCGTCAGTATTAATGGGGCTGTGAAGAGCTGTGAAATGTTTTGTTTGGTCATATCGATTAGCTCCTCCCCTTAAGAAAAAAACAATCTCCCGTTCCACCACATCCCAAAGGTGCTCTATTGGATTGAGAACTGGTGACTGTGGAGGCCATTTGAGTACAGTGAACTCATTGTCATGTTCAAGAAACCAGTCTGAGATGAGTCACGCTTTATGACATGGTGCATTATCCTGCTGGAAGTAGCCATCAGAAGAGGAGTACACTGTGGTCATAAAGGGATGGACATGGTCAGCAACAATACTCAGGTAGGCTGTGGCGTTGACACGAAGCTCAATTAGTACTAATGGGCTCAAAGTGTGCCAAGAAAATATCCCTCACACCATTACACCACCACCACCAGCCTGAACTGTTGATACAAGGCAGAATGGATTCATGCTCTCATGTTTCTATTTTAAACTCTGACCCGACCATCTGAATGTGGCAGCAGGAATGGAGACTCATCAGAGCAGGCAACGTTTCTCCAATCTTCTATTGTCCAGTTTTGGTGAGTCTGTGTGAATTGTAGCCTCAGTTTCCTGTTCTTAGCTGACAGGAGCGGCACCCGGTGTGGTCTTCTGCTGCTGTAGCCCATCTGCATCAAGGTTGGACGTGTTCAGAGATGCTCTTCTGCATATCTCGGTTGTAACGATTGCTTATTTGAGTTACTATTGCCCTCTGGCATCAACAAGGCATTTGCGTCCACAGAACTGCCGCTCACTGGATATTTTCTCTTTTTCTGACCATTCTCTGTAAACCCTAGAGATGGTTGTGCATGAAAATCCCAGTAGATCAGCAGTTTGTGAAAATACTCAGACCAGCCCGTCTGACACCAACAATCATGCCACTTTCAAAGTCCCCTTTCTTCCCCATTCTGATGCTCACTTTGAACTGCAGCAGATCGTCTTGACCATGTCTACATGCCTAAATGCATGTGATTGGCTGATTAGAAATTTGCGTTAACGAGCAGTTGGACAGGTGTACCTTATAAAGTAATTCTAAACACATTTCTGCTCATAATAGTTTTAATATCTCATTTCTAGTCACTGATTTACTTAATCTTTGCCATGATGACAGTAAATAATATTTGACTAGATATTTTTCAAGACACTTCTATACAGCTTAAAGTGACATTTAAAGGCTTAACTAGGTTAATTGGGTTAACTAGGCAGGTTAGGGTAATTAGACAAATTGTTGTATAATGATGGTTTGTTCTGTAGACTATTAAAAACAAATATAGCTTAAAGGGGCTAATAATTTTGACCTTAAAATGGTTTTTAAACCATTTAAAACTGCTTTTATACTATCCGAAATAAAACAAAATAAGACTTTCTCCAGATGAAAAAAATATATATCATGAGACATACTGTAAAAACTTCCTTGCTCTATATTTGGGAAATATTTAAAAGAGCAAAAAAAAAACTGGAAAAGGGGCTAATAATTCTGACTTGAACTGTATGTATATATATATATATAT